TGAGGGGGAGGGGGGGGTGGAGGTTTATAAAATGGTTTTACCATAATCAGTTTTAGTAGTCGACTGAAATATCGTATAGACAGAAGACCACAGATAGCATATAAATTAGTTATAAGATATGAGAGTGCTTTCGTTTGGAAGATTATTATGAATTTTTGCATGAGTTATCTTGGAATAACAGTGGAAATAATGGAAAATAAAAAGAAATGAAAATTTCCTCTAAAAGGAGGCTTGTCTAATAATTCACGGTCGTAATTAATATCACAATTTTATATACCACCGTGCGCGACTGGCTTCAAATTACGCCAAAAAAAATTAACTGCATCGTTTTCATGTCGACATTAACTCACCTTCAGGGTTGTTTGAGGCACAAAATGTTTCAATACATATCTGCGTGTCGAACTGGGTTTCAGGTGAACCATTCTCACGCGGAGGTAAGTTAAGTCAAATTGCTGATTGTATTCCTGCTTTTAATAACGTTTTTAACCCTCGAGTCATTTTGTTGCGACCAACTTTTCCATGTGGCTCTTATCTGACTTAATTATCTTACCCAGCGTGGGCACGCTTATGGATTACCTCTTTGTGTTTTATAAAAAAGCTTTTTGTTTAAAACACACCTCCATATTATTTGGCATGCTGACATTTACTGTCGATTGTATGGCGAATCTGATTGTTAGAAGCTTAACAGATGCAGATCAAAGACTATTATGTCGCAAAAGTGTTGTTTATTCTTCATCGAAGTTATAATTTTACAGGAACCTTTAATAGCTTACCTCACGATTCAGACTACTTGGGAACTTAAGCAAACCGCCACCGCGAAAGTAACGAGGACATGGGAAAACAAAAGAACAAATGGAAGAACAATAGCTTAGCTCTTGCTTTCTAGAACTCATATGCAAAACAAAACGTGAAAGTTTCGTGGTCTGAGAACGGAAATCCTGACGGAAAATGATTTAAGATCCCGTTTTGAGCTTAATGCTGCTCATATGCCCTATGCTTAAGTTAAGGTGTAGCGCTGTAATTGACCGTAAACAAATCCAGACTGTTGCAAAATTCTACCTTAAAATTGAAATTTATTTTTTAGCGCCTTCAGTCTTCCTCGGCGTTGACGTAAAGACTGCAACTGGTAGTTATCAATATTCCATCTCGCCGCTTCGATAAAACTAGTCGTGGTCTTCATCAAGCGATAAGGCCGAATGATCATGACACCACGTCATAAATGCATGTCGTAACAAGTAGGCCGCCCTATCGAGGGGGAACAAGCGGAGAGGAAACCCGTGGGAATAGAGCGTGAGAGGGAAACAGAAGGATGAAAATGCAATTGGAAGCTGTCTGAATGAGCTCAATTTGTTATTCAATGCTGTTTATGGAACGTTTTGTTTTGCTTTGTTTTGTTTTTTTCTTTTAACAAGAAAAAGTAAGTGATCCACTTAGGTAAGTCGCAGCACATGAAAGGAAAGGAGGGGGTTAATTTCTAAAGAAAATGTGGTGCTGCGTCCGTGGGAGAGTATAACAAGGTAATTTGGTATTCGCAACTTAGTTGACAACTTAAATTGGCCACTTCTAAGAGTCTCAAAGCTGACGTTTCGAGCGCTAGCCCCTAATCAGAGCGAATGTGATCCTTCCGAAGTTTCGCTTCATTTAAAAAAAAAAGCCTTTAACTGAAAATTCAGGCTTTGATGGATTCCAACCCGTCCCTCACTTCCAGATTTTATTAGGGCGCTGTTACCAGTTGAGCTACAAAACGTATTGGGAGCGAAGCAAATTTCGTGAAATTTAGTAGGAATATGCATGACCATATTTTGCCCTGCGGTTGACGATGAACGAGTGATAAACAATTGAAGATCTGATCCTCTCAGATAAGCTGCGAGAAAGCGAGCTTACCTGCGCGGATCACTTATTTATAAACCACAGTTCAAAATATGATTAATTTCATTCACTTATGGGACATTTTTGGTTGTCTGCGTAGTTTGCTGTTTCAGACAGAGTTAACTCCCACCTTTTATCCTCTCCACACGGGTCAAATTAAGTCATCAGAGCTGATTTAATAAACTTCAAAGAGTGGTTCATGTGCCAAGGCTATTTCATCACCTGTTATCAAATAGAAAATTCTAAATATTTTATGGTTCATTTCACGTTAATGTGAAGTATCAGGCGTCTGAGTTTATTTATAGCTTCATCCTTTCACTCTCAAGTTTACAAACCAATAATACCCATTCAGTTGCACCGTCAGCTCTGAGTATTGATGTAAAGTCAAACGGTATCGCCGCCTAGTTGATATTTCTTTTTCTTTCCATTATCATTCTGCTTAAGAGTATCGTGATATGTCGAGGATAAGTTCCCTTTTGGTCCCTGCTGGGGAGAAAATGTAAAAGAAAAAGGCGACTTACAAGATTGATCTGTGACCACATGTAAGCGCCGTTTGTTGCCCAGACGAACTGGATCCTCGCTTCTTGTCTATAGCTAATTTGTGATCGCAACATTTAATCTGTTTCACTCCAATAAATGATAGATTACAATTAAGGATAACAGCGATAACTATGATTTCAATTCACGACAGGCAAAGTCCATCTCCCTTTAGAAAAGATCACACAGGGAGAGTTGGGTACAGGTCGGTAAACGTCCCACCGATTTTCGCATAGATTGATCAGTAAGCTTCCTTTAGCAGAAAAAAAAAATATCTTATATATCCTCGTTAAACCTTAATCTCTTTTTTTAAACTTCATGTGAGGTAACAACAAACCAACTAACATTCCATCTCGGTCTTTAGCAAACTTCTTAGAGAAATGAAAGGGCAATTATTGATAAGTTTGGCTCAACTTGTAGTCAGGGAACGAGAGCAATATATCTAAGTGAGGGGGGGAGGGGGGAGGTGGAAGGACGGGGCACAAAAGTACCTCGATGGAAGAGTGAGGTGGATAAATGAGAATTTTTGTTCTCATTTCGTATTTCCTTGTGCATACCGAAAATAAAACATGCTTACAAATTTCTTCATCATTGTAGTTTTTTTGTTTTCTACGAATTAATTAATCCAAGGAAAAACGATGACTTTGATTTGGAGTTTTTTCCTGGTTATTTTCGGTACTTATCGTCTCCGCCAAAAGAAAGAGAAAAAACAAGACTTTTGTAACTTTATATCCCGCTGTTTTTATAGTTTGCTTTAAAAACTCCAATGGTGTTTATGGGTGTTCATTTATCAGCTTCAATCGGGCAGCAAAGCTAAGAATATGGAATTTTGTAGTAATGGTTCACGTGATACGTAATTAAGAGCACATGAATGATAACTACATTCTATCCTTTAGGCTGATGCTGCTGGCGTTACAGTAATTCTAGCCACGAATGTGAAAGTTCGATCCAATATTCGACTCCCGTCAGTTGTGGTTATTTTTGGTCAATTATATTGCTCTCAGAGTTGATCGGATCCACAATATGACGATTATCGTCGGTAGGTGTTCGTTTATCAAAAAAAATTATTCGTAATGTTTCTCTCGTCGTGGCTGCAAAACAGACCTTTTCTGGCCCAGTTTTCGTCGTCTGTGGTAAGCTTTATGTCCATGGTTTGTTCAGGTTGTCCTTTTTGTGTGGCGGTTAAGGTGTTGTGAAAGTAACGTAATGAAAGCAATATCGTTTGTCGCGAAGTCGTAAGAATGCACCTTTGTTTGAAGTTCTAAATGATAATTTCTGCAGCAAACATAACAAAACGGTGTTCAGCGATTTAATTGCTTCTCTGAGCATCTCGCATAGGGTGCAACCGTTTGAAGTGTTTACCGTTGTGGTTGGGTGGGCTTTCAACACGCTTTCGTGTTCATATGTCCTTTTTGTTTGCGAACAGTAGTGAGTATTAGAACAGAAGGACGTCTGATAGCGACCTTAAGTGACACACTTCAGCCAGCTTATCTGTCAAAATGAAATACTTTGAGCCTGTTTAATCAACAGTGGCTACAAATACATTCTAAGGAGGCCAACATTATTATAAAATTACAAATCCTGTGACTACAATGACCAACCATATTGTGTGAGGTCACGTCTATCAACGACTGACTCTAGGAAGCAATGATTCGACCTATCGATCGAAACTGGCAAAAGCTGCCTAAGTCTTTTAGCCAAAACATCTCAGCCAAGAGGAATTAAATGTTCCACTTTGTTTATCAAGGGGGAATAAAAGGCAAACTTTTGTTTGTCATCAATCATCTTCAATTTCCTTTTACTTCTCTTCTAGCAGCTGGCAAGACTTAAGCTACTTTGTGTGCCATGTGTTGATTTAATGTGATGAATTTCCTATTAGAATAATTTCAGTAGATCCAACCCTTAGCGCACGGATCACATCTCTCGATAGTGAGTGAGATAAAGTTTTACCTGTTGAGAGCGTTTTATATATATATATATATATTTCTTTGCTTTTTCAGCCTTAGAATAAAGTTTCTTTTCATTCATACAGAACACACCAATTCAGACCAGATACGCTTTTCTAAGAGAGTTCGCCATTGTCCTCCGCCGGGTTCGTTGTTAGGGCGATAAGATAGGTTCGTATGCTGTAGACATAATAAAGCTTCAATAGAATTACGTCTTGCAGCAGTTCTTTTTCAAAAAGAAGAAATAAGTAAAAAAAAAAAAATGAAACAACTTTCAACAATTATTCACCGGAGTGCAGGTAAATATTCACCACTCTCATCGACACTGAGGTAAATTATTGTTTTGGTATATATCAGACAATAGCCAAAATATTTGTAAATTTCTGTTAGTCTAGCGGAAAAATGTCGGAAATGTAACTCTTAATGCGCAGTCTTGTCTCTTCGGCTTGCTAATCACCTCCGAACTAGCCAGTTAGCGCGCGCAAAAGGAACTATTCACCACTGTAGTAAAATAACACAAGTTTATCAATTACTCTGACTTTCTCTAATAGTGTACCATGAATTTATGTAACAGCAGCCTCGGAAAAACCAGGAGGCCGTGTATCAAATTTCTCTGTCAGTATATCATCTGCCTTATGTTAAGCAGATATCATAACAAAACAAATGGGCCATTGGTATACCAAATATTAGTATTCCGACATAAGATACGCAGATAAACTCAGATAAATGAGAGAGAGATTGTTTTTGTTCTCACGTGCCCTAACCGAATACATATGTTTCGTATCCCTACACGGACAAGATATTTTCGAAATGGAAATGTGGAAAAAATTTGAAAACAATAGGAACAAACTGCCAAAAAGTATCCGCTTTAATTGGTGGCACAATTTTACCACTCACTGTTTCCTTTGAGAAGTTGTTTGCATTAATTCAAATGAACAAAGGGCGTAAGTTTCTAAAAAAAAAAAATACTGTGGCGCTGCGTCGATGGGAGAGTCACGGTATTACAGGGTAATTTAATATTATCAACTGAGTGAATGGCGTAAATTAGCCACCGTAGAGAATTTCAAAGCTGACGTTTCGAGCGTTAGCCCTTCGTCTATCGCTCTGACGAAGGGCTAACGCTCGAAACGTCGGCTTTTAAACACTTTTCGGTGGCCAATTTACTTCATCAACTAAGTTGATAATGCTAAATTACCCTGTTTACATTAAGGCCTCATTATATTAAGAGTTTGTCACTAATTTTCGACTACATATGCTTGTCACGTGCAGTTGAATGTAGTTACTTGGCAGACGGAGGAGGAAAAGGTTATCAATATTTATGCAGTTTGTCAATACGATTGCACAAGGACAAGCATCGTCTGACAGAAAGACCAACAGCGTCATTACTGGTTATTTCGGTAAGGTGAATACTGAAGCATGCACTCTTTGATCTATGGATGAATTAGGCATTTCGGCCAGAAAAATACTTCCTTAAGTTCCATGTTTTCTCTGCTTTTTTTCAGGCTTTGTGATCAAGTTATGAATTCAAGTACACAATTCGCTTTAGAGGCTTCGAAGGCTGTGAATGCCAGCGACAACAGTACCCTTACTCTGGAAAGTTGTGGTATTGTATTTCCAAATGAGATGATAATCACTATACACTTTTTGACGCTCTTTACGTCCTTGATAGGAAACACTCTCCTCATCGTTGCATTTCTGAGAATGAAAGAAACGATACTGCTCCTCATTGCCAACATGGCTGCATCTGACCTACTCTTAGCGCTGGTTCTTATGCCTGAATATATTATATATGAACTAACTGGGTCCTTCGAATACCACGTTCGTGGTGGTGTAGGTACTTTTCTGTGTAAGATCTGCCCTGTTCTAAGCGACGCATCATTGTCAGTATCAACCCAAAGCTTAGTCTTGATCGCAGTCGAACGGTTACTGGCACTAATGGCTCCTGTACTCTATAGGAGGATAACCGATAGTAAACGGAGGATTATCGTCATCTGCACTTGGATTGTGGCCATACTTCTTCACTCGCCCTATTTCTACGCGATGCGACTAGCTTCGATCCATCACGAAGGTACCTTTATCCAAGTTTGTTATCTAGACTGGGCACCAATTTTTGAACACAGAACAGCACAACTTCGTTATGGTATTTTTTTATACATAACCGTTTTAATTGTACCTATTCTTGTAATTTCTGTGCTTTACGCTGTAATCGTTTTCAACCAACGAAATGACAAAATGGGCTCCAGTCGAGGTGAAAAGTGTGCAATACGAAAGAAACGAAGCGTCAAGAATTTAAAACGGATGGCTGTAGCTACAGTAACGGCACTATTTTTATGCTGGACGCTTTATATCATAGTGTTTACATTCAAACTTGTCTCTCCAGAGACAGTTCCCAAATGTAGTAAATTTTTCCAAGCGGTGGAAAATGTGTCTAACTTGATAGCAAGCTGTTATTGTGCAGTTAATCCCTCCCTTTGTTTCATTTTCATCAAAAGTTTTTCGCGTCAGCTAAGTTTTTTGTGTCAACGAAAATCTAATCGACAGCGTGGCGCGAAGTGTACTCACGCGAATGTCAAAATGGGAGAATCTGGTTCTGTCAGCTGTCTGACGAGATTAAGTTTACGTGGCAGTTAAACTAAATAATCCTTATCAATAGCTCTGTCAAAACAAACTGAAATGTGATATTAAAGAAGGAAAAAACAAGAAGGTGAAACATAAATTTATTATGCTTGAATTGTATATCGCCCTCAGGCAAAGCGACTTTTGTATCTTGGTTATTATTCGACTGAAACTTTCCCTTTTGTTAAGCCTCTTCGTTTTCTTGATACTTGGCACAATATTATGGAAAGGAAAAAAGGTATATCTCCAATCTATTTGCATAGGAAATGTTGCCCACATAAAAATCATAATATATCAAGGAAATTCTAGTCAAAGAGACCCCCGGAACACCTGCGGTGTTAATGGAAATGTGTCTAGTTAACATTTAAGTGTGAAACGTACGTATGGAGTTTTAATTTCCCAGTGATTGTCGTTAAGATTATTTTGTTTCAAAATAAGTACGTTAAAAGTACAAAGTGTCAAAAATGTATCTCATTGACTTCCGTTAGAAGTCAGGTTTCGAATATCCTCGTCACTTGTCGACCACTGGCCCCTCGGCATATGGTAAGTAAGATGGCCTCTTTTACTCGAAATATGACTGAGAAGTTTAACATCAGGCAAGGTGAGATAGCCGGTGCAGTTCAGGCCTTTGATATTAGTTCATCCAGCTATTTGTCAGAGGTAAACCACTTAATGTGCTTCCATATACTGCGATAAAGTCCATTACTTGATATCTAAGATTAAACAGCATCAAGCATAAATGGCATAACTTACTTGGTATGGAAATGTTCACTTCATTGTTCCGGAAGCCAAGTTGTGAGGCTTTGTTATTAAAGAGCTGATTGAGATTTTAAGAAAGGAGTCGATTTTGGAGCAGACGATTTGGAAATCTCTGACGCTGCTTTCTCTATCTTTTGGCGGGATAGTTTAGCCCCTTCATGATCACATTGCGCTTACTCACGAGTCCTTTAAAAGGCTTTATATTGCTAAAGATCGTTGCAATGAGGAGAGGATGATATTCAGTACTTTTTTTTTTGTTCAATTTGAACAGAAAGCTAATACTATGTTTTGGGAGCGAAATTGATTTTTGCATTAAATTTTAGCCTGAAACTAAATGTATACTAAATCAAAAAGGAATAAATTAGACATATCAATCACATTTACTTTCGACTTTTGCCAGCTTTTGGTGTCAACCTTTGCAGTTTTCGCTTTTGAATTCTTCATGGAGTGGAATTACCAATAATTTCCCATGGAATAACACAAATGCGGCAGCGAAATCTAACCACGTAGAGAAATATTGATTATATTTTCCCTACCGTGTCTTATTTGTGTGCATTCATTGTAGGCGTCTTAATAAGCAGGCTATAGATGGCTTACTCTGAGACAGGAAAAAGAATCTGCGGCGAACGCCATGGACTGTTCATTTTTCTTACAGTGCTGTGTGAAACGTATAGTTTGAGGGTAGAAAAAACCATCACACTTTTGGTCACTCTCTTTTTTTACTTCTGCGTTAAGTACAAGAAGATAATTGAAAGGAGAAATTTGAATTATGTTATTTTCACTTTTATCTTCCGCCTTTCTCCATTTCTAAGTTGGAGAAAAATTCAAATGTTGTTTTTCTTGAATTATCAGCCGTACTGGCTGTTGATTCCTTTTTATTAATCTTATCAACTTCTACTTGTTATTACTATAAGATCTTAACTATAATCAGTCTTTCAATTGAATATATTTAACTGCCACTCTTATGTCAAACTGCTATTTCCTGTCGCCTTTTTTAAAGGATCATAGAAACATTAATTAGCTTTATTGGGAGAGGGGGAAGGGGAAGTCGAGTAAAAATTTATAGTGACACAGCC